GTTCGGGCACTTCTAAACTAGCGGTGGGCCCTAATAGATCGGTCCTACGGAGGGACCTGCTCTGAATACCACGTCAAAAATAACATGCAGGAATCATGAGACTAAGATGAGAGATGATTACAAGTACTAGGTCTAACCCTAAAGTGTTGTACTCAGTAGAGGCTACCCCACTACAGCCTATAGACACACAAACACACTTGACATGTGTGTCAAACTGCATTATATGCTTGTAGTGGGGTAGCCCAGTACAACCCTTTTAGGGTTGCATACTTGTATCTCACTGCTGCTAGTCACAAACCATTCCGTTCTTCTCATTCTGACATTCCACGTGCTGTATTGCGCTGTTTCGCAGAACGAACTCCAGGCGACGGCTGGGCCCGCGGGCCTTTCCTCTTACGACAGTGGCTCGTAGGCACTCGGCGACGTCACTATGACTCGCCACCAGTCCATGGCGAGGCCCCGCAGCAGTGCGTACCGGATTTTCGCTGCATCCGACGTAATGTATTTCGCGTCAAAAAACGCGTTGATCGTAAAAATCCACGATTGAACCGTCGGACCTCCACGCTGGCTAGGATCGAAGCAGGGCGGGCGCTGCAGCTTGAGTGGCATCGGCTCACCAATGTCGTTGTTGCCGGTAGGTGTGTTGATGCTGACGTGACGGCGAGCCTCGCGAGGTACATTTATGTCCGGTGCGGCCCTGATTCTCTCCATGCCCGACATTGATTGGGCGGCGCCATCGCTGATTGTGCCTGAGCGCTATCCTACGCTGTCATGCTGCGATGGTGTTCCTGACGAAATGATAATCGGCTCGTCTGATTGCGCCGGTGCATTCGGTGCTGGTGCGTTTGCCGTAGATCGCCGTGAGCGTCGCAATTTCGAGTGCAGATTCCTAGAGTTGGCGCATTAAATCATCAAGGCGTTCCTTCGTCAGCGTTACGATCGGAATGCGGCCGGACTCGTCCATGGCGGAGGTGTCGGGCTAGCCTCAGCGAGAGCGTCGGTCGTGGCTGGATGTGCTTACGAGAGAGCACACGAGCAGCGGTGCTTGGTCACTGAGAGACGTCTACCCCCCCAAATTTTGAGATGATGTGGGAAGCGAAGGTGTGGGCGCAGTCCGAGAAGGGATCGTAGCTCTAAATACCAAGTGTTACGAGTGCAATTGAGTGAGCGAACGAAGATTGCACTACCGAGGCAAGAATACAATGAGCGAAGGCATGAGCGAAACATTATATAGCGAAAGCTAGCGTAGTAACGGTAATGTGCGAGAACGTGGTGCGCGACGGGCCTGGCGCCGAGGTTGGAAAATGTCGAGGCGGAGGACCGGAGCGCGGTTTACCAACCGAACCGTGAGGTTGGGTCGCGAGGTGTACAGTGGCGGGAAAAGTGGTCGAGGCGAGTGTCGCGAGCGAGTAACATTTTACTGTTTGATTCTGTTGGCGGGAACAATCGTGTACGCGGTAAACAGGGGCCCGAAGTAAGGAAAATGATTTTTCCTTACACATTGTAATGTCATTCGTTCTTTGTAAAGTCTTCCACGCACTCTGTTTAGTGCGTGTCCAGCTCGTTCATTTCGGGAAATTTAGTACCTCCTCACGATCCAAGGTTCAAAACTGATCACTGTACCTATAAACGAATGCGTCCTGCGTCGAGTCCACCCTTTTTGTCAATTCTAGCGCGCGGACACATTCCCCCCACACAGACTTCAACAGTGCAGGGGCCGCGTGGAAACCGAGGTAACCGGTTCCCTCGTCAACCAAAGAGTTGGAATTTTCGCCAAACCAACACTTTCACTACTGGTTTTACGAATAGTATATGAACGAGCTGGACACCCCCTTAGTACAAAACACAAAGGAACTGGAAACTCTCATAGGGTGGCTTGCTATTCAGGTTTCCAGTTGACAAAGCACGGTTTTCGAAACTGCATGCCAAATGCGCAGTTCCATCGCTTCTGGGGCAGGGTTACTGCCCGTTTCATTTTTACAGTGCAGAGTTAGTGCGATTTCTACGCAGTTCGACGCTCATTGGTCTAAATCTCTAAAAACGACAAGCCCTCTGTGTAAGAGAAAACAGTTTAACCCAGTCAGGTGTTTGACATTTTTCAGGGACTATCAATCCTAAACACACATTCGCATAGTGTTTAGGGTTGATGCCTCTCTCGATGGCAGACATAAAATTTTATAAAACCTGTCGCAAATGGCATCAACCCTAAACATTTCGCCCAATGCTTAGGGTTGATGCTCCCTAAACACTTCCGCCCGGTGTTTAGGGTTGATAGTCCCTAAATAGCATGCCATGTGAGAGGGTAATATATTTTTGTCTGCCCATAATTCAGGTGCAAACAGTTCGATGGCCGTCAATCTAAGCGGAGTTGTCGGTCCGTCGACATATTGACCAATGAAAACTTTACTGCATAGAAATCTCAATAACTCTGCGCTGTGAGCAAAAATGGGGCAGTAACAGTGCGCCAGAAGCGACAATGCTGCGCTTTTGGCGTATAGTTTCAGTAACAATGCGGGATCAACTAAAAACCCTGGCTATTCGGGTTTTCACTTCACAAAACACGGTTTTCGAAACTGCACGCCAAATGCGCAGTTCCATCGCTTCTGGGGCAGGGTTACTGCCCGTTTTTTGTATACAGCGAAGAGTTAGTGCGATTTCTACGCAGCTCGACGCTCATTGGTCTAAATCTCTGAAAACGACAAGCCTACTGTGCAAGAAAAAACAGTTTAACCAAGTCAGGTATTTAACATTTTTCAAGCCCATATAGAGAGTGCATCAATCCTAAACACCCATTTGCATAGTATTTAGGGTTGATGCCTCCTTCGATGGCAGCAATAAAAACAAAAAAATATGAAACCCGGCGCAAATGGCATCAAGACAATGTTTAGGGTTGATGCTCCCTAAACACTTCCGCCTGGTGTTTAGGGTTGATGCTCCCTAAACAGCATGCCATATGAGAGGGTAATATATTTTTGTTTGCCCATAATTCAGGTGCAAACGGTTCGATGGCCGTCAATCCAAGCGGAGTTGTCGGTCCGTCGACATTTTGACCAATGAAAACTTCACTGCGTAGAAATCTCAATAACTCTGTGCTGTGAGCGAAAAACGGGTAGTAACAGTGCGCCAGAAGCGACAGTGCTGCGCTTTTGGCATATAGTTTTAGTAACAATGCGGGATCAACTAAAAACCCCTTGCTATTCACTCTTGTCAAATGCAACATGGTTCGGCGGAGCGGTTGATCCGCCCGAATGAGCGTTTGCGTGGCACAGACGATCTCGGCCCAGCTCGGCAGGCATTAAAAAAATGGCCTCGGGGGATGGGCTACAGTAAACCGACCACCCTGGAACCGTCCTTGATAAGCGCGTGAAAGGTTATCTAGGCTCGATATAAGCAGATCATCGCCGAACCAGACAATAATGGAATGCCATGCGAACACCTTTTTTAACGCTGGCACTTTCCACCAGAGGAATCTTCCTCGAACCCTTTTTCTCAGGCAAACAGTCCATTAACTGATCCGCCGCACCATGCTGCCTCGAGGTCCTGCACCACACGGGGGATCAGTGATGCGGCCAATCAAAAGTGACTGGTCAAATTTGCCAGCCAATCGCATGATCACGCGATCCTTCAGGGCAACTGCCTCCCAGCTTCTGCGAAGCTAAATCCTCGATTGATGCCATTAATCTAGGCCCATTTAATGCCAACTGAACACTCGGGCCCATTTTTCCGAAGTTGCACTACAGCTACAGTCTGATTTCGCAGCTGTTTCGAGGGGGCATTTTTTTGGGGCCCGTTAAAAATGCCCATAATACCCATAATCCCCATAATGGCCATAATGCCTGCCGAACTGGGCCCTGGCTGGCACGCAATGGAAGGACGCAAAATACCGCCAAGCGCGTGGAAGGACGTCCCAGCGCGTATCACCATCCCTTAGCAAATTCATGGAAAAAAATGTCGACATCAGAGCCAGATCTGTTTTCTCCTCCGAGCCTATCTGGCTGGGGAATTGTTACGTCAGTTCACCGTGTTACTAAGGTTTGTGCTTGTCAAACCTACACTGGCTCCAGCAGGTTCCGCGCCCTCGACAAAGCTCAAATCTCATGTGAGTTTCGTTTCCCCTCATTTCACGTTTCCGTGTCGATCTTGTATCTGTTTGTTCTTCTTTTCCTTTTTCCCCCCTGTTTCAGAACTTCTGCGGCCCTGCCTGGCTCAACCGTGCCCTTGACCAGAGTCGTTTTTCTGCTCCACTTGCACGCTGCCTCCGACCCAAGCTTCATTCCCATTGGCCACCCCTTCAGCTCCCCACCTCTCTGGCGCACCTCCTCGCTGCCGTTTCCGCTACCAGCCCGGTCGCCCAGCCAACTGTTCCTGCCCTAACCGTTTTTTTCCCAACCATTTTTCTCCCAACGATTCGGATTCCGATTGCTGCCATCTTCTCTCCTCATCATGCCTACTTCCCCTCAAACATCGTAACTTTTTTTCTACTTGCCTCGCTTCCCCCCGCCATCATTCCTTCTTCCACTTTCCAAGACACCCGGTCAACAAGTCCAAGCACCTGTTTCGACATACGCCAAAGGCTTTAAAGTCTCCCACAGCTTGTCTACTCCTTCTCAATCAGCACTTACTATCGCCCCCATTTTCGACCACACATCCTCGTTTGTTTTTCCCATCCTTAACCCCCTTGCTATCGTTGCCCACCCTCTGCCCCCACTTTTTCCCTCCATCCCTCCCATGCCCCGCCCACAGTTCGGTCGTTCCCTATTGTGAGTACTTCCTGACACCCCCTCTATTCTCCGCCCTTCCTTCTAACCCACCTTTTCCCCACCCGCACCCACTCCGTGCAGCTCACTGCTCTCATCTTCGTCCTCAATGCGTATTCCTGCCTATCCTACCCCCTTACCCCACCTTCCTCCTTATCTCGGTTCCTGCTACCCCTTGGTTACCTGACACTGGATGCCGCTTAAGCACCGTTCACTTATTTGGGAACACTGTGGACGCTGCCTATGTTCCCTCGCCATCTCGGATGGTGTGCGCCCTTCCGAATTCCGCTCCCTGTCATACCCGTTTCTGGGTGCGACCTTTCACCTCCCGCACGCCATGGCCACTTCCGTGCATGGCGATCCGTCGTTCACTCTCACTGCCTCCGACCCGCCCCCACCCCTGCCCGGCCTTCCCTTGCGCCATGCGTCATATTTATACCCCCTCACGCCCCCCTCGTTTCTCGCCTTTCCTTCGTCTTCTCTCACTCCCCCCCAGTCACCATGGCAACGCCTCACAACCCTGACGATGACATGACTCTCGTGGATGAGGACCTCCACCTCGACGGTGAGGATCTCCACCTCGAGGAGCTCCCCAATGTTAACCTCCCCGAGCTCCCCACAGGCGACGACGCCCCGGCTGCCAAAAAGTCCTGCTTCGAATGCCCTTCTTCCATGCCTGGCTCCTTGGCGTCGTCATCTGGCATCCCCACGCCCACGGCATCTGACTATGCTGCCCCCCATCCAGGCCCCTCTGCTGCCCCCACCCCTCTCTCCGCCAGCGCCCTTGCTGCCCCGACGGCTGGCGTCCCTCTGGGGGCCGTCAACCTTCATACGGCCCCGCCCTCCGACGCGGCGCCCCTCCGCAACCTCCGCCGCCCGAGGCCCGGGGCCTCTGGCCTGATAATGCCTCGTCGCCGCCTCGCGGTGGTCACCCTCCTGATGACTGAAGCAGGGGCGGAAACTATCCGCGCGGACCTCATCGCGCGCATCTCCTCTATGCTGAAGCCGCACTTCTTCCGCTGCGGTTCCGTTCCGGAGTTCGAAGCTGCCTTTGGCGACCTCCTCCACATCCCGCGCCGCTCGTACGCACGGCTCTCCTTCACCTGGCCTTCGGAGGAAAACGCCGAGGATTTCAAACGCATTTTTCCCCGCCCTATCTCTCTCAACTCCTCACGCTCTGTGCTTTTGAAGGTCTTCGAGGACCGCTTCCCGGACTTCACGGCAGCCAAGGCTGCAAGGGCTGCTACTCTTTCACTCAGGAATGTCCCCCCGGGATACACCCCTGACGACACTCGCGACTTTGTGCTTCACCAGGTTGACCCGGCAGATTCTGCATGGCTTGCGGAGCTGCGTTTCTTCCACCGCACCATGGACCCTTACGAGGAGGTCTACCTCCCAGTTTTTTCTGGGATCCCCCTTCCCCCCCCGGATGACCCTCCTCCTGCATTCCTGCTGTCATCCCCCTCGAGGATGACTCCGATCCCGCTCTGCTCAACATCTCCTCTCACAAGTGCGGACTCTGTGGGCATAACCATCGCGACGGTGACCACGAGATCTTCCCCATCAAGCGCAAGCAGCGCCTGAACAACAAGGTTCAAATTTCCGTTGCACAACTGCAACAAACGAATGGTACGATCTGCCCCTCCCCCACCTGCCCCTCCTTGGTCCCCTCTGCCCCTGCCCACCCTCTACTGGCTCGCTTGCTGCTGCCCCCAGTTAATCCCTCTTCCTATGACCCCACCTTCCTGCCCCAAACTCTCACACCAGCCCCCCTCTGTCTCCTGCCTTCACGGCCCCTCCTTTGTCTCGGGTGGCTGCCCCCTTTTACTGTTGCCTCCCCCCTTTTTCGCTTCGTCGCATTTTTGTGCACCTTTCCTCGCGACCCTCCCCCCCGCCCCCCCCCATACCCTCCTTCCCACCTCTCCTTCTCTCGTGAAGAATTGGCACTTGCTTCTCGCACACCTGCTCCTCACTGCAGCACATCCACCTCCCCTCTCTCCTATACCACACCCCTCTGTCCACTCTCTCCCTCCCCCCCCCTCCCCCCGGGGACTATCCGCACTTTGCTCTCTGTCCTCCCCCCCTCGCTGCTTCACCCTTTCCCCCCCTCAGGCCAAATCCTTGGGGCACGCCCTGCCCCCACTGTCTTCCGCAAGGACCCGGGCCTTCTCTTCATTGGGATCGACAGATACGTTGAGCCGTGTATTTGCGCCCTCTGCAACTTTGTCTGCGGTCCCGCGCTGGACTCGGCAATGGCCCACTTGGCTTCCGAGCCTCATGCTACCAACCTTCGCGCTGCTGCGAAGGGTCCGGCTGTGAAGGAAAAATACAGCAACTGGAGGGCTCTTACCTTCACCGCACTCCCCCGGATTGCTACCTTTCTTGCGCAGCAGAACTGAGTAGCCTTAGGCCCTCCGCGGCTTATGCCTCGCTTTCTGTGAACCCCCGTCGTGCTGCTATGATGGATGTGAAACTCCGTTTGCATGTGTGTCTGAAACTCCGCTTGTATATATGTCTGAAACCCCGCTGGGGCACATGCCTGAAAACTCATTCCTTTGTGATCTCAAAACGTTGTTTGCTCAAACGACTAGCAATAATCCAACAACACCAGGTTACTCCTGTCATTACTCATATGCCCAGTGGATTCGTGCACTTTCATGCACGATGGGCCCTCGACCTATTGCCATGTTAACACGCCTCAATATTCTCTGTCTCAACATCAATGGCATTAATGCACCTCATAAAATCAATGCGTTGAAACGTTGGATCTCTGCGCACCACAATAAACCCGACATCCTTGTGCTGGTCGTCACACGACTTATCCTTAACATCCCAAAATTGGCCCGTCGACTCCGGCCACACTCAACAGCTCATGCAATCGCCACATACCCCCCAGGCACTACCTCGAGATCTCGTCCCCCTCGAGGTGGTATCTCTCTTCTCTCCTTTCACAAAGCAATCACCATCTCCTCGGCCGTCCAATCACCAGACGGACGACTTCTCACCGTTGATCTCAATTTCTTGCATGACCAACTCCGACTGATCGCAATTTATGCACCCCCCCACACTACCGAGCGGCGGGTTTGGTGGCGAACCACCCTCACCCCTGCCCTTGATGCCCCCTCTGCAGCTATTGCCACTATCCTTGCGGACGACTTCAACTCTGTTGTCCTCCCTGAAGACCGCAACCGCGCACTACACGGACACGAACGAAGCTAAGAATCCTCGTTTGAGACCCTCCTCAACTCGCACTCGCTATCGGACTCCTTTCGGTCCCTCCATCCTACCACTACTATCTTCTCGTACATCGGCCGCTCGCGCCTCAATATATCTCCTCCCCCGCCTCCCCCCGCAGCCCGATTGGACCGATTATATATTTCCAGCCCCTTCCTTTCACGCCTCAAGGCTTCTCTATACCTCCTTACCCCCACCGTAGTCTCTGATCATTCGTTCGCCCCTCTATGCTCACTCGCCTTCACCAATCCTGCGATGGCCCCTCGCCCTTGGAGGCTCAGCCCTTCTATCCTACAACGGCCCTACATAGCCCGCATCCTGGACACTCACCTATCTCTTCTACCCCCTCACCCGTCCCCGCAAGAGTGGGACCGGTGGAAGAAACACCTGACCCTCCGCCTCAAATGCTTCTCCAATGAGGAGAGGCAACGCATTACTGGAAACATGGAGCACCTCAAGCACCTCATCAGCCGCCTTCAAATCCAAGCCGCTTGTTTGCCTCTGTGCAACAATGATGCAGCCCGCGTATGCAAAGCACGCCAACAACTAGCAAAATACGAAGCCTCCAAAACCGCTGAACTCGCACTCAAAGCCAAGCTCAAAGTTGAAGGGCATATAGAGATGGGCATCTCCTCCCTCCTTGCTGGTCTCAACTCCCGCATCAAAGCCTCACTCATCTCCTCCATCACGCTGCCCAACGGACAAACCACCTCCCACCTCCCCTCCATGACCGCGGAGTGCACCCGATACTTTCAAACCTTATATTCCGGTGCCTCAACTGTCACCCATAACCCGTCCTTCTGGCAGCACATTCCCCGCTCCTCCCTCCCTGACACTCTAGCCCACTCGCTCCAGGCCCCCTTCTCTCTTCTCGAAATTGGAAAGGCTCTCAGCCAACTCTCCCAAGGAAAAACGCCCGGTCCTGATGGCCTCCCAGGAGAACTCTTCCGTCTATACAGACCACGCTTCACCCCCGCTTTCCATGCCCTTCTGGGACAGCAGCCGCCTGCAACGATGCCCCCGTCTATGCTCTCCGGCCACACTGTCCTCATTCCCAAGAAAAGTGACTCTACGCTCGCGGAGAACCTCCGTCCTATTACCCTTGTGAATGCAGACTACAAGGCCTTAGCGCTCTGCCTCACCAACGGTCTACAACGGGTACTTCCGCTCCTAATTCATCCCTCGCAAACTGCTTTTATCAAACACCAGAAAATTGGGGACACCATCAACGACACCCTCGATGTTATGGACTGGGCATTGTACAAACAAACCCCGCTTCTTGCCCTAACGGTCGACTTCCGCAAAGCTTATGACCTTGTCAATCGCCCCTTCCTTCTTCAAACCCTCTCTCACCTCGGCCTCCCGCCACAATTTGTTCACTGGGTTTGCCTCATGCACTCTGACACGTCTACATGCATTGCCGTCAACAACTTCTCGGGCCCACTATTTCCGCTTTGCTCGAGAGTTTGCCAGGGATGCCCCCTGGCTCCTCTTCTATTTGTCTGCGTCATCGAAATTTTCCACCGCTACATGTCCCTTTACCTCCCCGGCTTCCCCCTCGCTCCTGCGACTCGCCGTCTCATGGCCTGCTATGCAGATGATGTCACCCTCTTCCTCTCATCTAACAACAAACTTGGTATTGCCGTCGATCATCTATCAACCTTCGCCGCTGTGTCCGGCGAAACTCTCAACTGGAACAAATGCTCTATTATTCCCTTCAATCTCTCCCCCCTTTTGATCTCAAGGGCTGGACCCATTCCTATCCGCGCCCCACATGAAGCCAAACATATTCTCGGCATTTTTATCGAGCAAAGCCAACCAGGCAACACTACATGGACTACCACCCTTGCCCGCATACAGCGTACTTCCAAATACCCTGCATCCCTTCGGGCAACCGCCACATGTCGGAAAACTCTCGCATCTATCTTTCTCAACTCCACTCTGTCCTTCCCTGGCTGCTTCCAACCTGCCCCAACTGAAGTCGTCACTAGCCTTGACGTCGCAGTTGGCAACTTTCTCTCCCCTTCTCGCTACAAGGACTCCGGCCTTGCGGTCCGGCTGATCCCTAACCGCCTCCTCTACAATTCCCCTCGTCACGGCGGACTCGGCGCCATCGCCCCATCAACGCAGATACGCGCACTCTCCATCCGACGTGCGCTTCGCCGCTTTGGTGCGTCACCTTCAGAAGAGGTCGCGCGGACAGCCATCCTCTTACCTTTCGGCACTCATGCTCTCCTCGCCCATCCGGCTATTCTTAAAACAAACGTCATGCCTCCCTCCATCCCCCCTCGCGCCCTTGCAAAACTTCGCGCTCTGCTGCCCCTTGCTCCTGCTATCTTACCCCCCCCCCCCCCCCCCACTTGTCCCATTATGTCTGCTTGGAGAACCCACCGCTTTTAAACGATTCATCCTCAAACTCAATGGAAAACCCTTCAGCCTTCTAAAAAAAGAACAATTCCTCCTTCTCCGCCAGATCCGACTAGGCCACATTTTCATTGCCTCATTTCAAGGCCTTGAACCCATCTCTACAGACGCTTTTGCTAAGTCCTTCCCCCCGTCTGTAGTCCCCTCTGGCCGTCGCGTTCTGCGAGACCTCATCGTAGCCATTCCCCCCTCTTGGTTTGCTGCACTCCGCACTCCACCACCCCCTTCCGCATCCCCTGGAGACTGGTTTATCCCGAACCGCGACCTCCACTCTCCGCCCACGTTGGCTGTACAAGCTATATCTTTCACCCCTCCTCACACACTCTCTATGTGTTTATATCGGGTCCTCCCGAACCGACTCATCGAGCGCACCTCCATTGAATCTGGCACGTTCCACATAGACGACATTACGGTTGTGCACACCCAGGGCCGCTGGGTTGCAGGGCCACTTCATACAGGTGCAGGTCTAGGAGCACGGTTGGAGCTACTTCAAGACGGTATTCCAAGCCTCGCATCCCTCCGCCTCCTCCTATACTCGCAGCAGCCTCTGGACCACGAACTCCGCTGGACCCGCGCCCTCTCTTCTTCTCCTCCTCTTCTCCCCAATCTCTCACATGAGTTCCTCCGCGATCAACCCAGCTTGCAACGAGATCTCCTCTTTCGCTTCTACACCCGCTCCCTCCCCTCGGGGGCTCGTTTCCAGTTTGCAACAGACCGCTGACGCTGCCAGTTCTGCGCCTCTAATCAAATCGAAACACTCTCTCACATCTTCTGCTGCGGACCCGCCCCCGATGTTATCACCGCTCTCGGCAACGTCGCCAGTCGCCACCTCGGCTGCTCCCCCTCTCCTGGGCTTCTCTTATTTCCCCTTCACTCTCGAACAGGACAATCCGTCTCTTGGAGTCTGTTAGTTGGAGCAGCTGCTTAGAATCTCTATGGAACGCGAGGTGTGAGCAGAAATTTCATGACTCAACGTCGTCCCATTTTGAAATCCTCCAACTCATACTCGCCGAATTCCTCATCGCCTTCAAGATTTTCATGTGGCGAAGGGCCAAGCAAGGTCGGAAAAAACAACAACGGTCTACCTCACGCATCAAGGCCGCCTCCCGCCTTCGCTTCATCTATTTTGACTCCAACGGCGCCCCCTCTATTCATCCTGATTTACATGTGTCCTGGCTCCTCGGGAACCCCTTCCGCCCTCCCTGAATCGCGCCCCCGTCATAGAGCGCTCCATCTTGCTACTGGTGGATATCCCTCCTGGGATTAGGGAATAACGTGTTTTACTACGTACTCCTGCTAGGCAGTTGGTTTTTTTTCCATATTCCCTGCATGCTCTATGTATGTCTGTACACTGGTTACGACCATAATACAACCTTAACTTTAACCCAGCGCGTATCACCGCCAATCACCCCTCCTCGCTTCGTCGCGCCAGCCCTGCGTGCCCGCTGCGTCTTCCCGCCATGCAACAACGCGCGTCCTCGTCGAGCGACGCGCGCGACCGAGCGACGTTCACAAACCGACTCGACGCCTCGGCATCGCATCGCGCTCTCGCATTGCCATCGTCGACCGCCATAGCAGCAGCGCCCGACGCCATGCACGCTGGCGCCGTGAGCGGTGCACGCACCAGCACCACCAGTCGGGGCGCGGCTAATAGAAGCGACAGCGCGGGGACCCTCGCCGACGGATCCGCCGCCCGGCCGCGATTTGCGGGCCGGCGCCGGCAGCCGGGGACCACCCGGCCCGGTGGGCACTTGTTTAAATCGCGGCGGCGGCGCGTGCTGCTGCTGTTCGTTGGCGCGATCGCCGCTCTCACTGCCTTCAACGTGCTGCTGCTCCGCTCGCGCAATTCCCTCAGAGCAGCGGATATCCGAAATTACATTAACGAGGATTTGAGCGACGAGCCAGACGGGGAAGGCGCGGATAACGAGGAGAGCGGTAGCGAGGACGGGCGGAGCGGCGACTCGTCGTCGTCGTGGTCGTGGCGGTGGTGGAGCGCGCTGAGCGGGACAGGCGGCGGGCAGCGGCGAGCGCGCGAGGTGAAGGCGTACAACAACTCGGACCCCGAGCCGGACGCGCGCATCAGCGACGCGGACGACCAGTTCATCGACGCCACGCTGCCCGTCGACGGCGCCCAGCCCGCCCGCACGCGCTCGCGGGACAAGGCGGGCGGGGCGGGCGGGGGTGGCGCGGGGGAAAGCGGGGCGCGCGTGCGGCTGGAGGACGTGCTGCGGTTCAACGTGATGGGCGCGGGCAGACGGTGGGACCGCCGCGTGGGGTGCTCCAAGTTCAGAGCGAAACACAACGGTGCGGTGCGCTACCCCCATGACCCCGCCACCCCCATCACGCCCTGCATCTCCCTTCCCCTAGCCCCCCTCCCCACCACACACCCACAGCCCCGCCAGCCACCCCATCCATTCCCCCCTCTCACCGTCGCACCTCCACCCCTCTTGCTGCCCACAGGTCTCTTTCACCCTCCTCTCCCCTCGTCTCCCCTCCTCTCCCTTCCTCTCCCCTCCTCTCCCCTCCTCTCCCCTCCTCTTCTCCCCTCTCCCCTCCTCTCCCCCTCTCTCCCCCCCTCTACCCTCCTCTCCCCTTTCCTCCCCTCCTCTCCCCTCCTCTCCCCTCCTCTCCTCCCCTCTCCCCTCCTCTCCCCTCCTCTCCCCTCCTCTCCCTCCCTCTCCCCCTCTCTCGCCCCCTCTCCCCTCCTCTCCCCTCCTCTCCCCTCCTCTCCCCCCCTCTCCCCCCCTCTCCCCTCCTCTCCCCTTTCCTCCCCTCCTCTCCCCTCCTCTCCCCTCGTCTCCCCCCCTCTCCCCTCCTCTCCCCTTTCCTCCCCTGCTCTCCCCTCGTCTCCCCTCGTCTCCCCTCGTCTCCCCTCGTCTCCCCTCGTCTCCCCTCGTCTCTCCGCCTCTCCCTGTGCCCTCTGCTTGCCGGGCAGCCATTGGATGCATCAAGCATTCCTACGCTCGCCACCATTGCCGCACCTCGTGCTGCTAGCCGTCGCACACCCTGCAGTGCTGCCGCTACTCCCGGCGCTCGTGCGGTTGCTGTGAGAGCTTGCTAGTGCTGCTGTGCCATGCTGTCAGGATGGTTGCCCATCAGGGCTACGGGGTGATTTATTGTCTTCCATGTGTGTGTCTGCATCCATATATGTGTGCGTGTGTGAATGGCTGTGTGCATATGTGGGGCCGGCGTACTTGCATGTGGCTGTGTGTGATGCGTACATGCATGCATGCCCGTGCCACCAGCCAGCATCCATGACTGGCGGCCCTCTGACTGGCAACCACCGTCGCCCAGTCTACAGGCGCCCATCAACCCCGCGCACTGCCACCGCCTCAACCTGCCACACGTCACCGTGCGGGTAGGTCAGCACCCCTGTTCTTACTGCATGCACGTGCCTCTGGTTGCCGTGCCATGCACCAATTGCTGCTCGCCAGGCCTGTGACCCCGATTGCAGTGCGCACAGCACCTCGTCGCTGCTGCGCCGTCAACCACACACGCTCCTAGCCACTCCCCATGTGCTCTTCCCAGTTCCCTCTTCCGGATTCCCTGCCCGAACCATCTGCGGCACCGCATGCACACGAGCACCGCAACCCTCTCACATGCACTCACACATACCTCCACTCCCCTCCTCCACCTTCCATGGTTCACCTCCCTCCATCCAACCGTCCCTCGCACCTGCGCGCCAATAGCAGGTGGAGAACAGCACGTGGGTGCACGAGACGATCATCGAGGGCGTGCATGCGTGCCACCCCTGTGCGCTCTCCTGCGCCTTCACACGCGCTCGCCCCCTCGCCACGCACCCCGACGCGCTGCTCTTCGAGGGCGTGCTGCCACCCGCGCCCTCCAAGCCTGGCCACCCCCTGCACGTGTACATGAACCTCGAGGCGCACCCCTGGGGGGAACCCGCACCGGGGGATGGCGGGGAGGGGGAGAAGGGAGAGACGGGGAAGGAGGGAAATGGGGGCGCAGCGGATGGGGTGGGTGCGAGGGCGGGGGTGGATGTGTTTGTGGGGTTCAGTGCAAACGCGACGGTGCAGGCAACGTATGCGGGGCATCTGTTCCACTGGGACCGCCAGCGCTATATTGCCGACAACAAACGCACTGTCAGCGCCCTCACACTCCCCTCTCCCGGCTCTTTCTGCCCTCTGTCAATCATTCTCCTCTCTTCCAACCCCCCCTTTCCTCCTCCTCAGCTTCTTGCTGACTGCTGCCGTCTCATGCATCCCCCTGCCTGTCCGCTGCTTCTGCCTGTCACGCACAGCCAGTGCTGCCGTCCCTTGCGCCACTCCACCCCCCAACCTGCCCCACGTGCATCACCTTGCTCCCTCCCCCCTCTCCCCCACGCCCTTCAACCCCTTGGCCCCCTTCCCCTCGTCCCCCCCTTGCACAACCCCCCAGGACGTGCCAGTGTTCCACGCGGCGTCCAACTTTGTGGCGTGGAGGGACGCGGTGGTGAAGGCGCTCATGAAGCACGTGCCCATGCACTCCTTTGGCGCCTGCCGCTCCACCACCGCGCTCCACGGCACGGAGCTGCAGCTGTACCCGCACTGTGCGCACACGTACGGCGCACAGGAGCGGTGGCAGCACCACACGCACTGCGTGCAGTCGCACTACCTGTTCTCGCTGGCCATAGAGAACACGCGTGCGCCCGGCTATGTCACCGAGAAGTTCTTCTACCCGCTGGAAGCCGGTGAGGGGCACGCTGGCCGCCGGGCGTGAGGGGCGGGAGGGCACAGTGGGCGGGGATGGGGGTGTGTGATGCCATGGGGGGTTGCAACGCAGTAAAGAAAATGGTGTGAATGGGGAGAGCTGGTCCCGCCACTCCTCCTCCGTGCACTGCGCCCATTGTGTGCGTACCTCCCTGACCACCCCCATGTGTGTGCACTGCTGTGGTGCATGTGATGCATGCACGTGCACATGGCAGGCACAGTGCCCATCTACATCGGTGCGCCCGACATAGCAGCGTTCGCCCCGCCCGACTCGTACATTGACGCGTCGGGGCTGTCACCCGCGGAGCTGGGTGCCATGGTGAAGCGCATAGCAGCGGACCCCCTCGAGTACATGGGCTACCACGCCTGGCGCAGGTGCTCTCCCTGCTCGCTGCCCTCTCCGCCTTCCCTCTCTCCCTCTCTCTCTCCCTCTCTCAAGCTGTCCTTCATTGATAGGTTCATAGGGATACAGGCAAGGCAGGGATAGGTGCTAGACAGGCCTAGGCATAGACTTGAACAAACATGCTAGGCAGGGATAGGCCGCGGGCAGGACATCTGCAAAACAACCAGTCAGGCCGGGCAGGTCAGGCAAGGCAAACACACGAGGCCGGCAAGCAAGGCAGGGCACTGCAAGGTAAGGCCAAGAACGGCAACCAGACCTGGCGGGCAAGACAACCGATCCAGCATATCGTGCAGCAGTTGAGCCATGGCTACACGACTAGCCTATAGCTTATCCTACCTACTGAGCCATCACATCCTCTCTCTCTCTCTACCTCTCTCTCTCCCTCTCTCTCTCGCTTGCTTGCTCAGCTCTTTCCTTGCACCATTTGTTTTCCCACTCAAGACTGCGCCCCTCCCACTCACCCCCACCCTCATCTTTTGGTCCAATGTCCCCGGGGTGGCGGCAGCAGGTGTGGAGTGTATGGCAACTACTCACGAGCGCGTCAAATGTCCCTCGACACGCTGCCCTGCCGCCTGTGCGAGCACATCAGCCTTATGGGCGGCACCCACCACCACCCACGCCCTTGATGCTGCACTGCATGCATACACACGCGCTGCTGTCCATGCATGCGTGCATGCGTACACACACGCTGCTGTCCATGCATCCATGCATGCGTGCATGCCGTGCCATGGCATGTGTATGTGCCGTGTGGTGCACTGCCAGGCATGCTGACGCTGATTTTCCGGGCCACAAGTGCAGCGGGCACATTCGTGAAGCTGCAAGGATGTGTGGTGGTGACAATGAGGTAGTCACTGTATGGTTCTTGTATGTTCTCAAGTGTAACGGTAAGACTGGAGCTACATGTTTGTCAAACAAAAAATTGTAATATACAAGTTTCTGCAATACAAACTATCCACAAACCAAAGGATGAATCGTTGAAAGTTAAGATGGCATACTGTTGTTCTAGACCCGGCTGCACAGAGCAGCTGCTCTACACATACTTTATGGCCCGGTTCTCCTAACATGGTACACCTGCCTTCTCTTGAACCACTCGGCACAGCACTGCTGTGGCACCGCAAGGTGCACGCGGGCGCAGGCAAAGGCGTGGGAGAAGCATAGCCGACAGCCCCATGGCATGGTACAAGAGAAGGCACGCGTCACTTGAGCTTGAGCGGCTGCACCACAATGACGGAACGCACCGCATGCCCCCACTGGTCGCGCCACGTGAGGCTGCCATATGAAAAGGCTGTGCTGCCCGTGCGGTTAGCAACAATGGTCACGTTAAACGACACCGTCTCGTTGGGCGCGATGGTGAAGGTAGGAGGCTTCACTGTGAGCAGCACCCCATTCGGCACCACCACCTCCGCCTTGTACGTGCTCGTGGCGTTGCCCACACTGGTCACCTCACGCGTGAGCACGACGGTGCCCACAAGGCGCGTGACGGAGATGGAGGCGCGGTTCAGGTTGTACGCCTTCACCGCCTTCACCGCCACGCCCTTGAATGCCGCCTTGGCCTTGGCCAGGTTCTGCCCAGCCAGGAAGTTCTTGAAGTCGAGCGCATCGGCATCATACACGAGCCCCACGTCCAGCAGTCCCATGGGGTTCACGTGCCCCGCGCCCATGTCCCACGGCGTCGCAAAGTCGCTGGACGAGTCCCGGATGCCAAAGCCCTTGTTGTTGCTCACGGCGGCCGTGGTCATCATGGCCGACATGACCATGGCAGGCGTCCACGTGGGGTAGCGCTGCACCAACAGCGCTGCAATGCCCGCCACGTGCGGCGTGGCCATGGAGGTTCCGGAGAGGGCGGAGAAGTAGCTGTTGGGGTCGCCCAGGTACTGCCCCGGGCCCGCACTCCACAGCTCCACGCCCGGCGCGATGATGTCGGGCTTGAGGATGTCGTTGGTGGGCTTGGGGGCCGCGGGGTTGGCGGTGGGTTGCATGAGGGGGCCGCGCGAGGAGAAGGACGCGATGAGAGGCGCCTCAGGCGTGGAGCGAGTGGCAGCCGAACTAGGTGGGGGGGGGGAGGAAGGAAGGGAGGGGAGCGGGAAAGGGGGGAAGCACAGGGAAGCGTAAGTGTGCGGTGTCTGATGCACAGCAGTGGGCGGTGGAGTGTTGTGGATGCATACAGAGTGGGCATGGCGAACATGGTAGCAAGCAGCAAGCAAGCAGCGAGTGCAGCACGTACGTGACAGAGCCGGACATGAAGGCTCGCACCGACTCCATGCTCTCTTTCACCGTTGCCACACCCGCACTACCCTCATTGTTACTGCTGCTGTTGTTCTTGTTGTTGCTGCTGCTGCTGCTGCTGCTGTTGCTGGCATTGGCACTGGCAGCAGCAGGTGGAGGTTTTTCAGTGGCAGTGGTGCGCTGAGAGGAGGTGGAGCTCTCCTGGGCTGCTGCTGATGCTGCTGACTCTGTGGCAACAGGTGAGGAGGTGGTGGAAGGGGGCGTGCGGGACGACGCGGCCACTGATTTCGCGGACATGGCGTACCCGCGGCTGATGGAGCTGTGGCAGGGACCAGCAGGTCACGATAAAGCCAGGGAATGGGGGGAAGGGGGCTCTAACGGGGTGAGTGGATCCGAATGTGGCATGGGATGGGACCAAACAGGGAGATTTGGCACATGAATGAAGTGAGCAAGGGCACAACAACACCTATGGTGAAGGAGTGTGTTTGAGCGTGTACGTTGGTGCGTGAATGTGTGCATGCGTGCATGCATGGGAGGGCATGGCATGGCACCTGGCGCCGACGGTGATGTACCACGGAGCAAAGTTATCCACAGTGCGGTACTTGCCCCCCGACTGCCACGGCGCCCCAGCGTTGCCCGCTGCAAACGCCACCACCACACCCGCCTGCACAACTCACAGCGGCCACGAGCAGGCGGAGCAGGGCAGGAACGAACGGGTCAACAACAGCAAAGGAGGGAGTGGCAAGGCGAACGGGGCGAGAACGTGGTGGAAGCGAAGGGATGGGTGATGACAGCAGCAGAGCAGGGCGAGAGAGGAGCAGCTGCCTGTAGAGAGCAGCACAGCAGCAGCCCACAGCAGCCGCAGGCGGGAGGCAAGGGGAAAGCAGAATGAGGCATGTAGGGCTTGGGGTTGGCAAGCAGCAGAGGGCGTGGCGCTGACAGCAAGCGCGTAGAGGGAGGGTGGGAAGGAGGAGGGGGCGCTCACGGCGAGGGCGTTGAGGTAGGGCAGGTCGTTGAAGTAGGTGGCGGTGGGGTCCTCGGCGCCCAGCGACAGGCTCAGCACGTCCACGCCGTCCGCCACGGCCTGGTTGATGGCCGCTGCAATGTCCGCGTCCGACGCCCACACGTACTGCCTGTCGTTCCAAAACACCTTGTATGCTGCTATGCGCGCGCGCGGCGCCATGCCACTCGCCGTGCCCAGGTTGTTGCCCAGTACTAACCCGCCGTTGCCCGCCGCCGCTCTGGGGGTGAAGGAGTGGGTGCGGGAGCGAGATTGGAGGGGAGGGGAGGGGAGAACGCACTCTCAACCTCAGCTTGTCTTCGCCGTGTGCCATGCGCTCACCCCGCACACCACGTGCTGTGGCCCTGTGTGTACCCTCCCCCCATACCGCCTTCTTCCCCGGCCCTTCCCCCCTTCCCCTTCATTCACCCCGCACACCACGTGCCACGCACTCACCCCGCACACCACGTGCCGTGGCCGTCGTCGTCGCGGGGCGACACGTAGTTCGCGGAGGAGTCGAGGCGGTTGCGGTTCTCGCGCTTGAACCCCGAGTAGAACGCGCGCGCGCCCACGATCTTGCCGTTGCACGCCGTCGCGGGGAAGTCGCTCGTCACCATGCACGTGCCCGTCCACTGCGACGGCGCCTTGCCGTACACGTGCGTGGACTGAGGGGGCAGATGACCGGGGGCAGATGACCGGGGGGAGGAGGGAGCATGCGCAGGAGAGGGTGCAGGTCAGGTATGTGAGAGGCAGCGCGCGAGGGGGAGCGGGGGGTGGAGCAGGAGAGTGCGGCGCGAGCTGCGGAGTAAACAAAGTGAAGCGCACGGCTCAAAATTGGTGACTGTGCGCACCCTGCGCCCAGGAAGAAAGACGACAAGGGGCGGGGGAAGGAGGCTAGCGCACGTCGTTGGCGAAGGACTTGTGTTCGGGCCAGATGCCCGTGTCTATGATGCCCACCACCACGCCCTCCCCCGCGCTGCTCTGCCCGCCCGCCGCGGCCCACAGCGACGGCGGCAGCTGCAGGAACGCGGGCGAGGAGGTGGTGAGGCGGCGCACGACGCGGCTGCGCGTGACGCTGAGCACGTCCGGGTGGCGCTCCAGCTGGTGCGCCTGCTGCGCCGTCAGCGACGCCGCAAAGCCGTTCGACACGTGCGTGTAGCTGCGCCGGGCGGGGACCATGGGGGTCCGGGGTGAAGGAGGGTAGAGATTGGGAGCGCGGGGACGGAAGTAGATGGTGAGGAGGGTACAGCGCGGCGTGGCGTGGGAGGGGGCGAGGGGAGTGTGCGGGCAAGGACAGTAGTACGGGAGGCTTTGGGATGCGTGTGAACGGCGAAGCAACGGAAATTCCGAAAAATTCCGTCCACCCGCAACCTGCTACTCCTACTGGCGGAAAATTCTCCCCCATGGGCATCTCTCACTCTTTCACGCCCATCCCGCCCCACGCCTCGAGTTATCAAGCTAGCGCGCCACGGATGGGCGCCCGGAGATTCTTGCCCGTCACCCACGCGTCTTGCTGTCGCGCAGTCCTGCGCTCTGCGCGCGCGCGCGCGTGACGGTCTCACCTGTAGAGCAGTTTGTTGGTGGCCAGGTTCACGTCCCGCGCCACCCGCTCCTGCTGCCGCTTCAGGAAATCCTTGAACGCGCGCACGGCGTTCCCGCGGAAGTTTATCCGCGGGCGACGGCGGAAGAGGCGCCCCGCGGCATTGAAGAAGCGCGCGGCAGCGGCGGTGGCGGGATACCCCGCGATGCCGCCCGTGTACTCCGCGACGGACGGCGCGGAGCGCAGCTGCACCAAGTAGAGTGCGGAGTCTGGGGGAATACGCGAGGGGGGAAAGGCGGAGGAAATAATCCAGGCGCAAGGCAATGGGGGAGTGAGAGGGGGAGGTTGGGGAGGGGAAGGGAGCAAAGGTGGAATTCCCAGGACAGTAACATGAAGGCACAAGTTAACGTGAAGCCGTACCATCCTGGGCGAGAGTCGTGAGGGGAAGCAGTAGCGCGACGAGCGCTAAGGCGAGGAGCGTCATGGCTCTCCATGTTGCTGAGCTGCGCGAGAGCAGCGGCGCCGACGACCGCTCAGCCCGCCTTAGCCGCACGCGATTCATGGTGTTGTGACGCGGCGGGTTGCGGGGAGAGGGGAGGGTAGACGCGGCTTGACCCCACTGGGCTGTGCTGTCTTGGGGTCTGAATCTAACAGCGAATTAACGCAGCTCTACAGATGTGATGGCACGTGCAAGCTAGGTCGCGGCGGGACGACGAGAGGCAGAGTGCGGATGCGGCGCGTAATGCAGCAACGGTGAAGCGCTATCGAGGTTGTGGGGGATTCGACTGTGAGGGCAGGTGGGGGGTCGCCTAACAGCGCGAATGCGGCAGTCGGCGAGAGGCGATAGCACGAAGAGCGCGGCTATGCCCACCTGATTTGCAGGCGAACGCATGGAGTGCAGCCGATACGGGTATGGCGTAATGCTAACTCGGAATGGTTCAGGTCTGTTGTTCGGCGTTCGTACTAGGAGGTGTAATCTAAAACTTGACCACTGGTCGTCTCGTCAGGGGCAAGGATCCATCAACCTGTCGAAGTGTGTCTGGGGGATTGGGATGGGGGGGTTGTGATGAGCGGCGGCGTTT